ATTTTTATTTAGGATCAGCATTAAATAATTAAAATAAATTCTAAGAATCTATGAAATGTTATGAAAAATCTCTAAAAATCAATTCTAATAATTATATCGCATGGAATAACAAAGGTAACTATGGTTTAAAAAAACTTATTAGCTTCAGCATTAGAAAATTTAAATATGTATTAAGAAGCTATTGAGTGTTTAGACAGAGCCATAAAAATTAATCCTAACAATGATATCTCATGGAATAGCAAAGGTAATAAAATGTAAATATTATTATTTAGGTTCAGCATTAAACAAATTAAATAAATATGAAGAAGCTATTGAATGTTATGACAAATCTATAGAAATTAATCCTAATAATGATATAGTATGGAATAACAAAGGTAATAATATCATGAATATTAATATTAAGGTTCAGCATTAGAAAATTTAAATAAATTTTAAGAAGCTATTAAGTGTTATGAGAAAGCTAAATAAATTAATCCTTATAATGAAAAGTCATGGATTAACTTAGGTAATAAAAATTAATAACATTATTTAGGTTCAGCATTAATAAAAATAAATAAGCATTAAGAAGCTATTGAATGTTTAGACAGAGCCATAAAAATTAATCCTAACAATAATATCTCATTGAATAGCAAAGGTAATAAAATGTTGTGCATTATGATTTAGCTTTTGCGCTAAAGAGTTAAAAATAACTTTAAGAAGCTATTAATCGTAATAACAAATCTACAAAAATCAATCCTCTTATTGATAATGAATTGAATAACGAAAGTAATATAATTTTAAAAATGATTTAAAGGTTTTGCTTTAAACAATTATAATAAATTTTTAAAAGCAAATGATTTTTTTGATAAAGCCATATATATTAATCCTAATAATGCTGTTACATGGAATAACAAAGGTGATAATTTATAAAATATTTTTTAGGGTAGGCATTAAAGAATTTAAATAAATTTTAAGAAGCTATTGAGTGCTATGAAAAATCTATTGAAATAAATCGTTGTAATGATATGGTATGGAATAACAAAGGTAATAAATTTTAAAATAACATCTTTAAGGTTCAGCATTAGAAAATTTAAATAAATTCTAAGAAGCTATTAAGTGTTATGAGAAAGCTATATAAATTAATCCTTATAATGATAAGGCATGGTTTAACAAAGGTAATAAATTTTATAATTCATAAATTAGGAACAGCATTAAACAATTTAAATAAATTCTAAGAAGCTCTTGAGTGTTTAGAAAAAGCCTTAAAAATTAATCCTAACAACGATATATCTTGGAATAATAAAGGTAATAAAAATGTTAAAAATATTATAATCTAGGCTTTGCGTTAAGAAATTTAAATTAATTTTAAGAAGCTATTAAGTGTTTTAATGAATCCATAAAAATTAATCCTAATAATGAAAATACATGGAATAACAAAGGTAATCAAATGTTATACAAATTATTGTTTAGGTTATACATTAAATAATCTAAATTAATTTTGTGAAGCTATTGAATGCTTAGATAAATCTATAAATATTAAGTCTACGAATGATACAGCATGGAATAACAAAGGTAATATCTCCTAGAAAATATTTTTTAGGTTATGCATTAAACAATTTAAATAAATTCTAAGAAGCTCTTGAGTGCTTAGACAAAGCCTTAACCATTAATCCTAACAATGACATGGCTTGGAATAACAAAGGTAATAAAATGTTAAAATTATCATTTAGGTTTTGCATTAAACAATTTAAATTAATTCTAAGAAGCTATTAAGTGTTTAGATAGATCAATAAATATTAAGCCTAATTAATAATTTGCATTTTTTAATAAAGGTAAAAAATATTTATTCAATACAGGTTTTGCACTACATCAATTAAAATAATTTTAGGGTGCAATTGAATGTTATGAATAAGATCTTACCATCCGTATAAAAACTTAAACATTGAGATATAAAGGTAAATCATTTATTCAATTTTAGCTGATGCATTATTTGAATTAGGTAAGAAATAGAAAGCTAAAGAATGTTATTTAGAAACTTTGAAACATGGATCAAATGAACATGATTACATTATGAAACAGTTATCAAAATTGTGAATAATCATAACATTAAAAATTTAATAAAACTACAAATTTAATACTTTTTATTGAAATTTTATACCCTGAAAATATTCTTTCATAATACTTTATCTTTAACGAACTTCTCTTAATTAGCAAATTTTTAATTATAAATATTCTTGCTTTATTATATTTGAATATGCTTATGACATATTAAATTAATATTATATTCATAATTAAATTAGTAAAAATCTTTTTTAAATAGGAATTTATTTATAAATAAATTTTTTTTTTCCTTATATGTATCAATTAATAACACAATTTCAAAATATTTATGTTTAGACATTAAAAAACAAAATAATTAATTAATTAATTAATAAAGATATAGATGAAATAATTTTTGATATCCAAATGACCCAAATAAAAATCAAAAAAAGATAAAATCTAGTAAAGGGTACTTAAATTGTAAACTTCAATCCAAACAATGATTAAAAATCAAATATATTATTTACATCACTCATAAGGTTTTATATTTTTAAATTCGTGGTACTCAAAAATTATTTGTCAAGATATTGGCCCTATGAAATTTTTTATACAAAAAAGTGAAAGGAGTATGAAAAGATCAACATATATAAAATATAATAACCTAAAGGAGTTAACCATAATACAGTGAATTTGATTTTAATTATCGATTAAAACATTAAAACATTTCAGGAACTTAATTTTCCGAATGCCCATATATATCCATACCCCTCTCTCCATTTTCATATAAAAGGATTTAAATTTCATTGTTTTAATACCTCAATGATTTGAAACCATAGTTACTGAAGTTTTGTGCTTTCTTTTTATAGTCTTATTCTCTCTCTGCTAAAGTTACATCAGCCAACACTCTTCCTTAAACGAGAATTCAAATATTGTACTCTATGTTTGTTATATTATTTCTTATTCTCTTGGCGATTATTTATTTCTTCAATGACTCATCGAATAATGTCTGGTTGACCTTATCCTCTCTCTCCTATGACTTATTTTTTTGTTTCAAACTTTCTTTCTACTTTCTTTTGAAAACTACTTTGACTTCTCTATCTATCATTCTAGATTTAACTTTAAACAAGATTTTTCTATATCTTAATTTAAATTAGAGTTTAGAAATAAAAATTAGATTTTTTAATGCTTCTTAATGGGATTATTAGCATGGCCTTTTAATAGTTATATATTTATATCAAATGGATTCTTTAATTGATTATACCTAATTCAATTGAGAAGTTGTTTATCAAAATAAGTAACAGAATTAAGTAAATTTAATTATTATTAATCTCTGCTATTCTTAACAGAATATATAAATCATTGAATAAATACTAATCAATTTATAATTATAGCATAAAATTTATAGATTATTTGATTACTTATGAACTTTCTATTATTTTATTAGGTGTAAGTTAGAACTCTTATTTAACTTTTATTTTCAATTCTTGATAATTAATAAATAGAGTTATATAATA